TAGGGAGCACTCAGGGCTCTTCGCAGAACCTGATGAAAAGCTGACCTATACCACTGCAGTAAAGGCAGAAATTAGAACAACAACTGACAACCCCATCTACTCCCGATGCTACCCATATCCTATGTCATTGAAATCAGAAGTCGAAAGGCAAATTGGTAAGCTCTTGGAAGATGGCATTATAAGACCATCTCGCTCACCCTATAATTCGCCCGTTTGGATAGTAAACAAAAAACCAGATTCCCTGGGCAACAAACAGTACAGGCTGGTGATAGACTATCGCAAACTGAACTCCGTAACAATAGCAGACCGCTACCCCATTCCGGTAATTAATGACGTCCTTTCCCAGCTAGAAGGCAACAAATTTTTCTCGGTCATTGACCTAAAAAGCGGCTTTCACCAAATTCCATTAAAAATTACGGATATAGAAAAGACCGCTTTCTCTATAAATAACGGGAAATACGAGTTCACTCGTCTACCATTTGGCTTAAAAAACGCCCCCTCAATTTTTCAAAGAACACTGGACGACATTTTACGAAACTACATAGGACAATGCTGCTATGTTTACATTGATGATATCATCATATTTAGCAAAACAGAAACAGATCACGCAACCCATCTAAAGAATATTTTCGGTACGCTCGAGCATGCCAACATGAAGGTACAGCTAGATAAATGCAAATTTTTTCAAAAGAAGTAGAATTCCTAGGATTCATTGTAACACCGGAAGGAATCAAAACAAGTCCTTCAAAAGTAGAGGCTATTCAAAATTTCCCAGTTCCACGGAACCTCAAAGAGCTCAGATCCTTTGTGGGTCTGTCGGGTTATTACCGCCGTTTCGTTAAGGACTATGCCAAACTGGCTAAACCCTTGACAGCCCTTCCAAAAACCAATCGGCAAAAAGGCCGGGCACCCTCGATGAGGATGCAATGGCAGCATTCACAAAGCTTAAGAATGTTCTTATTTCAAGTGAGGTGATGCTTTCCTACCCTAACTTAAACACAGACTTTGAGCTGACAACCGATGCCTCCAATTACGCAATAGGTGCGGTTCTGTCCCAGGACTGTCCATTACCTTCATATCTAGAACCCTTTCAAAAACGGAGGAAAATTATGCAGCCAATGAGAAAGAAATGCTTGCCATCATATGGGCATTGAAATCTCTGCGTAACTACCTTTACGGTTCAGCAAAAGTAAAAATTTTCACAGACCACCAACCCTTAACGTACGCTCTGAGTAACAAAAACAACAACAGTAAAATGAAACGCTGGAAGGCTATACTTGAAGAGTACAATTACGAGTTAAAATACAAACCCGGCAGAATGAACGTAGTCGCCGACGGACTATCTAGACCATCGCAACAGGAACAGATAAATTCTTTAACGGCGACCCGACATAGTGACGACAGTTCGGCCCAAACATTAATACCTTACACCGACGCCCCCATTAACGCCTTTAAGAATCAAATTCTCCGAGACGAGACTTCATCATACCAATTTCAAATAATTTTCCCAACTTATCATAGGCACACTATAGTAGAAAGGGAATTCACGGATGAAATCCTTACTACACTACTAAAAAGATATTTGAATCCCTCGGTTACGAATCGTATAAAGACAGAAGACGCAATATTGGGTAGGATCCAGAATATTTATCAAACCCACTTCAGCAGATACAGAGTATGATACACACGAAATTTTGTAAAGGATATTCTTACCGAACCTGAGCAGGAAAGAGTAATCATATCCGAACACAACAGAGCTCATCGAAATGCCACGGAAAATAAAGCTCAACTATTGCAAAGATGCTATTTCCCCCATATGAACGCGAAAATCAAGAGAATAGTAAAGCAGTGTAGAATTTGCCTTGAAAATAAATACGAACGGCACCCGGTAAACCCCATACTAAAAGCCACCCCGACTCCAGATTATCCAGGACATATAGTGCACATAGATCTTTATTATACTAATAATAAGGTAATATTAACAGCAATCGAAAAATTCTCAAAGTATGCCCAAGCAAAAATCGTTAAGTCTAGATCATGCGAAGATATTAAGACCCCATTGAGAGACCTATTAGGGATATTTGGATTTCCGGAAAACATTGTGATAGATAACGAAAAATCCTTGAACGCAGCTTCCATAACCTTTATGCTGGAGAATCAACTCGGAATACGAATATTTAAAACACCACCATACAAAAGCACAGTAAACGGTCAAGTTGAGCGATTCCACTCCACCCTATCCGAAGTGTTGCGATGTACCAAAGCTGAAGGTACTCACACGGACTTTCATGACCTTCTCCACAGATCCTTACAAAAATATAATCACTCCATCCATTCCACTACTAAACGCAAACCAATAGAACTATTCTACGGACGGACAATCGGACAGAACCCAGAAGAACTGGACAGGGACGAGAACATTAGGAACCTAAAGAACAAGCAAGAAAAGGATTTAGAGTACCATAACAAAAATAGGACAGACTTCAGGACCTACAGTAGTAATGACATAATTTACGTCAAAATTAATAAAAGGCTAGGAAATAAATTGTCACCTCGATACAAAAAGGAAATTGTGCTGGAAGACAAGGGAAACACGGTCAAAACTAGATCAGGAAGGTCGGTGCATAAAAGCCATATCA